ACACACACACACACACACCAAAATGGGCAAGACAGAAGCAGAAGGTGGTTCTTAAAGAGACAGGCCAATTTCAAGGCGTTCAGAAGAGGAAGTGATGAGAAGATAAGTTTATTTTCTATTTAAACATAAAAACAGCATTTTAATAACAAYTAAAGGTGACATAGATACTTTAATATTKYATAGTATTTAAATATATKCCTGAGAAACACATATTTCCCCATAAAAAAGGCAACAGAAATATGAAAAGGCAACAGAAAGGTGTATCCATACGCTGGGAATAGTTGAGGACGGCTTGTTCAAAAACTGTATTAGTCTACTCTATCATTATGGTCTTATTGAGCTGACAGTGCTAACTTTGTGTTCAGGATTGAAATTTTACAGCTGGTTGACAGCAAGCAATGTAGAAGTGTCTTCTAAACTTCCCACTAATCCATCTTCACAGCGATTACCACAAAAAGTGCCTCTTAACTGCTTGTGACAGCCAACATAAAACACTAAGACAGATGTCATAAGTTATTGTCGCAAGCAGTCAAGAAGCATTATGCAACTTTAATGACAACTTTCATCAAGCATCACAAAGCTCTGTCAGCTCCAAACAAGTATGCTGTGGTGCTTGCTGTCCGATTTCACTACAGCTGCAACTCTCATCTGCTGCAAGAACAGCAGAGCTCCCAAAAGACTTACAGGAGCATGGCCTCAGGCGACCTTGAACTATAGAACTGCTCCTCAAATAACTCAAATGGAGGTCATTTGGCAGGGTAGAGTTACTGTATGAGCTCAGAATGTGCTCATTTGACAGCCCTACTAGTCCAAAAGCCTAATTAGGGTCTTGAAAAATAAAGTTTGGCATGCTTTCTCTCATTTTGCTGTAGAGTGTGCACACTTCCTGAGCATCCCATTTTTTTTCTGATTTTATCCAGAACTACTTCTTAGAGGATTAAGTAATAGTAATGTTATCAGGAATCCACAGACTGCAACTCTAACTGGCATCCCTCAGCTTGTTTTCAAAAAGTCCTTTTCAAGTTTCCTTTCTACCACCTACTTATGCTTTACTCTGGCTCAGAGTCTTTTTAAAACTCAATTTTCCGAATCCAAGTCCTTCATTGAACGAACGAGTCCCATTGTCTTAAATTATCCACAGTTGCTCCAGCTTAGGGATGCACAGAGCCACAAAACCAACTCATCYAGGGAATGTTTCCCTTTTTTTAACCTATGATTACCAGTCATGCACAGAGGCATTATTCTCCACCTACCTCTTCAGGCTTGCTGATAATCATTGTCAGATCTGCCAAATCACCTAGAAAAAGGGGAGATAACAAGGGAGGTGTTAGTGTGGGCGTATTTGAGGATGATCTGGTTTCAGAAGTGAAAATTATCTTTCGCGAAAGACCACCAAAGTGTGCCATTGTAATGAATGAAATAGAAAATGAGGAACTGGCACATACAAACATAGGCTGTCTGAATTATTCCATTAGAAAACAGTCAATGTTAATTTGGGCCTTAATTAGCCCCCCTTTCCCAGAGACATGCTGRTCTGATTGATAGTCAAATTGCAGGAGATTGTGTTTACTTTATTTTAATCATAATCTATTTGAAATTCCKCTTCCATCTCGTGTCCTGCGTTCTCTCTTTCATCCTTCCTCCAAAGACCCGTCCAGCTCATGAATAAAACAATAGAATGACTGAAGGATTGATTCTTAGACACAAAATCTGCAATTATTGTGAACTCAAGTGTGGTGGCAATATTTATTTAACAAAGACAGAAATATGTGGTCCAAGAATGAAGGTACTCTGTGAGATGATCAGCTGAGTTTTATTGCAACAACAGGAAACACAGAGAACAACCTGGCCTGTCTCTGTGCCTCTGTTCTCTCTGTCAGTCTCTCTCCACACTACTCACTGTGTCTCGAGAGGCCTCATATATATAAACAAACACCATCATTTCATCTTAGCAAGATTTGATACAAGGTCAATGGAAAACACAAAGATAAACACAAGTGATATCTAAGAATGACTGTTGTTAGCAAATCTTGTTCTGACTTCATCATTCTATCTGCAGATGAACAGCATGCCATGGAAACCTAGGTCATTAAAGAACGTCATGAATTACTTGCTTAAACATAAAAGTATTAGTTCCATTACACAACGTAGACCCCTCTGAAGGAGGGATGGAGTGAAAGTACACACACTTTAAATGTAATAGAGGTGAGATGTTTTTTTGTATRCGTATTACTTACATTCTCTTTTCTATCTAAATTTGTGTAAAATGTTTAAATGTAATGTTATTTTCATTTGCATATCTGACGGTGAAAAGAGTTATGGCATCATGGTGTCATAAACCTTCAAATCCTTTGCCTTAGGGCATTTTACTACTTGCTGGGCTTTTGCAGTGGTGGAGTGTGCCCTTCAGTGCAGTGCTTTGTGCACTTAACATACAGTACATTGCTTCAGAGTAGCTTTTTTCCCTTTTTTTACACAAGTTGGTGGTATTGCCTTAATGACTGTGCTGGATGACTTGTCCTGGTTTCAGTGTTCACAAAATAATGCTGTTGCCTCTAAGTACCCTGGATTGATTGCATTCTCTTGTGAGGTGAATCAACTGAAATCAAGTGATTGCAACAAGGTGCAGTTAGCGTGTTTCTTCAGATTTGACTTGTGCACTTTTGAAAAAAAAAATCCTTCCACTCTACTTACTGTATATCCTGACCCTTGCAACATTTGTTCAAAAAACAGCCCAATCACCAGAATAAAATTACATTTTTTTATTTTACTATTTTTGCAGTCACGAATACACACCACTCTCTGTTGTTATTTTACATTTCTGACATTCACAGACAAATAGTTTTCCACCAAAATAGCTGATATATTAATTAGTAGAGAAGTGTTTGCTCATTGAACTGAAACTTGGCATAGTCCTAAATATTGAGACTGTTCCTTCATTGTTTAATTTGATTTTTTTTTACTTTCACCCATATTCAATATTTAGTTAGAGTCAAGAAAGTAAAATGAGATTAC